TTAAAGAAATTATTTTTTATATTTTGTTATACAAAACATAAGTTTGTACCTGAAACTTGATGATTACATAACAGAGTCAATTGAAGAAAAGTCTTTATTTGGAGCTGTTGTTCTGTAAGTAAGTTAACATTAATCATTTGTCTTTTAACCACAAAACATATCCTAAACTGCATGAGCTTGTAGGGCATTGAGATGTTCTTTTACATAATGTAAAGTTCAAGAACCAATAATCATGTTGAACACACATCACTGGATGATGATGATGATGATGATGATGATGATGATGGTTTGCTGATATTGGAGTAAAACTCAGAACATTCCCTTCCTGTAGCGATGGATCAGCTCGGACACGTCCTCCTTACACACCTTTATCCAGCCGTCCTCCTGCATGTGATACACTACAAAAACACACAAACACAGGTGAACACTTATAAACACATTATCCTGCATACATGAATGTGAAGACAAAAGATTTACCGCAAACACAAATGAATGTTTATAAAACTTTCAGACTACAGAGTTTTTAAAAATTATTTTCGATATATTAGATATCAGGAAAAAGACGGTGAGAGGAAAACGAGTAGAATCAGAGACATATTTGAGAAAAATGAATTCTGAATTGAAAACTATGAATTTCTTTTACAACAGCAACGTTGGTGATAGAATTAGTATTACAGCACCACACACACACACACACACACACACACACGCTGGAAATTTGTCGGCTGCACATCCTGTTCCTGTTGCAATCTCCTGTTCCATCAAATCCCAAAGCTGCTGTATTGGATCGAGATCTGGTGACTGTGGAGGTCATATGAGTGCAGTGAACTCGTTGTCATGTTCAATAAAATAAGTTTGAGATGATTTGAGCTTTTAAACATGGATCGTTATCCCACTTTAAGCAGCCATTCAAAGATGGGTGCACTGTGGTCACAAAGGGATGGACATGTTCAGCATCCAATCTCAGATAGGCTGCTGTGTTTAAACAATGCGAGTTTGTGCTAAGAGCTCCAAAGTATGCCAAGAAAATATCCCCACACTACTGCATCTAAAGCAGCCTGAACTGTTAACACAAGGCAGGATGGATCCATGCTGTCATGTTATTTATGCCAAATTGTGACCCCACCATCTGAATTTGGCAGCAGAAATCAGGCCTAATCAGACCAGACTACATCAAATCTTCTGTCGTCCATGCTTGTTGAGCCTCTTTAAATTGCAGCCTCAGTTTTCTGTTCTTTGCTGAGAGGAGTGACACCTGGCGCAATCTTCTGCTGCTACAGCCCATCTGCTTCAAGGTTTGGCATGCTGTGCTTTCAGAAAGCTCTTCTGCATGCCCTGTTTGTAACAAGTGGATGATTGAGTTACTGCTGCCTTCCTATCAGCTCAATATTACCCAGAGAACTGCCACTAACTGAATTATTTTCTCTTTTTCTGACCTTTCTCTGTAAACCTTAGAGATGATTGTATGGGAAAGTCCCAGAAGATCAGCATTTTCTGAAATACTCAGACCAGCTCGTCTGGCTCCAGCCACCAAGCCATGTTCAGAGTCATTTTAATCACATTTCTTCCTCATTCTGATAATCGGTTAGAATTTCAGCAGGTTGTTTTGAACATGTCTATATACCTAAATGCAGCAAGCTGTTGTGAGATTATTATACACACACATATATATTTGTGTTAACAAACAGCTAAACAGATGTACCTAATAAACTGACAGGTGACTGT